AGTACCTGCTTAGGAATCTAGTACAGAGCAGATACTCTTAGCGGGCTGCCCCCCAGCATGTCTGCTGCAGATAAATAACTCCACTTCAGTACCATCATATGCTCCTAAATGTTGTCTACTGGGACTCTACAGAAATGTAATGCCATTGGAATTTCTAGGACAGAAGTGGTTCCAGACTGTAAATGGCTGTCTTAATTAAAATTGTTATTAAAGACAATATTGCAGTGATGAAATTTATCCCCTGGGTATTTTTGCAACACTCTAATAACCTTGGTTGTTATCCAGTATTTGGAGCAAAATATATATCAAGTTAGATTAAAAACCAAGATGTATTGGCTCAGGACATGGGACATCTGGTCTTTGCATCATTCTCTTGTATTGCTGGTCAGCAGCCTGCTCTGGAAGCATCACCATTCAACCCAGGGTCACCATGGGATAAAGCCAGGAGCAGGAGCCTTCAGTCCAGGTTATCTGAAACATTCAACTAAAACAGGATTGTCCTCTTCTCTTTCCAAGAAGAGAAGCACACAACTATTTTTTGTTTGACGGTGCACCAGTATTGCTTGTTTTACAGTAGTGCCCAGAAACCCTAGTTAAGATCTGGGCTTTGTTTAGAAATATGAAGTAAGAGATGGGTTCTGCCTCAAAGCACTTGCCCTAATAGACAAGACAGGAAAGCACTGGGAGAATGGAAAGATTAGTACCCCTGAATGATTAGCTGACATGCCAAAAGTTTCTTTCCTCCTGAGAGGTGGCACACTTGACGTCCCATGTTCCCAGGATTGGTAGCTCTGGGTGCTATTTACTGGAAAGGGGGAGTAGTTTGTTCTTCATTGCTGAGGACATCTGCAAAGGCAGGACTTTTTTTGTAGCACAGAAAAGCAACCAATTCTACCCTAGACTCTATCTTGATCCTGTTGCTGTGAAAGGCTAAAGTGTCATTGCACTGTACAGGGATTAGTCCAGTTATTCTTGAGTAGGTGATTTCAGCTCTGATGTGCAATGCTTTCCCTTGGCATGGGATTTATGTTTATTTTAGAACAAATTTTCTGTTCTTCATGTATGAATGCGAACTGTCCTTGCTCTAGAAAAAAAAAATTGAATGACTGAATACCGGAAATGTCCATATCACTAGACTAATCCACCATCCTCCTCATCAAGTATCCCAGCCCTGACGGTTACCATCACTGCCTGCTTCGGAGGAAGGGAAAGAATCCTCACAGGTGGCAGATGCGGGGATAATTTGTCCACCCATATAAGCCTCCTCCTAATTCTTCATAGTCAGATATTGGCAGCCTTGTTATGCATCATGTTTCCTTTTATCAGGTTTGAATCTGCCACGTTTGCATTTCATTTAGCATTCACCTGTTTTTGTGTTGGAGACAAAGCAGAAATTCCTTATATGACTTCTCTCAGATCAGAAATAACTGAGGCTATTTTATATTTATTCAGTCCTGCAAATTTTGGCCCATTCCTAAATGAAACAACTCCCATCTTTTTAGTTTCTTTTCACGTGAGAGCCTTTCCAGCCCTTTTCTCATTCTCCTTATCTCTCCTTGCAATCTCCTTTCAAAGATGGGCTCACCTGAACTACCTGAGCTGCAGCAACTTGAACTGAATATAGTATTTTGGGGGAGGCCATGCTGTTGCTCTATAGAACAGCACAGATTATGGCTGAGTTTTACAAAGCTGGTTACCCAAGGTTAAGATCCTGGATTAAATATAGGCACTTAACAAAAGTAACTTCATTTTTATTCTCTTTCAAAAGTACTGTATAGAAGCAAGCTCCCATTGAGTTCAATGGAATATGGATTTAGGAGCTTAACTTTGGTCAGCCTGGCTTTGGAAATCTTTATTACCCTGCACTTTGACTTCTTATCCAAAAGGAAAAAACAACACGTGGGAGGAGGTGACCAGTTGTTCTGCAGTACTAAACTTGTAAGGGGAGATTATTAACCCCACAATAGTACTAATTTAAGGCCTCCATGGTCTCTTCGCTAGCACGAAATTGTGAAGCTTCCAGGAGCCCTGATGTAGCCGGGGGGTGTGCGCCAGCTGAGATTCTGCCCCTTGTGCTGCAGGACCCTGTGTATTCAACTCTTCATTTTCTGTGTCTCAAGCTTAGGTCTTGCTTTGATGATGTGAAGTGGGGGTGAGGATTGTTCTCCAACTGTTTAGTTCAAGGTGGGTTTACCCTTTCCATTGAGCAGGATGTGTATTCCTGCGGCACAGCAGACTTCCAGTCCTGCTTTGATAGCGCCTTTCTCCAATACTTGCAGGGTTTTACAAGGTCCAAGCTAGTGTTTGTGACTAGATCTGAGCCCTGAGGTTTGCAGGGCTGCTGAGGTTAAGATGCATCATTTTTCTGAGTAAAGAGAGATTCCTCTCCCCTCCCACATGCACACACTTCTCATCCCTCTTGCTCCAGATCCCACATCACAAAACTGATGACAAAAAAAATCTGTTCTACCAAGAACTGAATCTTGTCAATTAAAGAGTGGCCTTATGGAGGGTGCTAATGTATCTAACTATTTATTAAGATCAATAGTAGTTAATTGGAAGAGAGGAGTGATGAGCTGTTTGTACCAAGACTGAAGCAGTGTGTTCTTCAGTGACATCTGTGCATCAGAGCCTGCTTCCTGTCTGCCATCCTCTTGTCTCAAACAATCACTTTAAAGCTTACTCATGCATGACTCCTACTGTAATTTTATTGGACCTTTATTTAAAGAACTACCTGTTACCAGGAAAAAGACTTGACTTGTTTTTTAAATGGTTGATTGGGAGGTAGCTCTGGATTTCAGAGGTGTAAATAGATCAGGGAGAAAATTTGAAATGAAAAAATAAATAGGGTAGGTCATAGTGAATGTGCCATTCATTCCAAATGTTCCCTGCTTGTGTCCATTGTGTCTCCTCCCAGCTTTGGGCAGGAGGTCTCTGCCATCTCACCACAGCTGGCACTTCGGAGTCAAGTGAATCCCTAATGGCTAGCAGTGAAGGTTAGGAGGTAACCCTAGTCATTTTGAATTTAAATATAGACCCCAGCAGATAAATGTGACTCGGTGGAATCCGTACATATAAATAATACAAGACTAACTGCAGGCTGTCTTGGGTCTTAAAACGCAGCCTGTTTTAGTTTGTCAGCTTCATTTCCTTTTAGCTGGTTAACAGCCTACCAAACCCCTTGGAAAGGAGCCACTAGCACATCAGATCCTTATGGATGTGAAATACCTTTTGTGCTGTGATTATACTTAAAGGGAAAATGTAACAAGAATCTCATAGAGGACAGTGGTTTCCCTGCTGTTTGAGCAATGTCTGGCTTGCTTAAATTGAGCTTTTTAGCAAGAAAGGGTAGCTCTTTTTATGACTCTCTTTGACTATCTCCTGAAATCTTATGAGCAGAACCCCACTGTGCTAGTGGCTGTGCCAGCACATAGTCTGAGATGATCCTTACATTGAGGAGGACAAGGAAGAAAGGAGGCAGTATCATTCCAGCTCTACCAAGAGACCTCCAGCCACAGCGAGGTGAAGGACACTCAGGGAGCCTGAACCCAGAATCTGGCTCACTTGAACCCTAGCCCAGTGCCTTACAACAACACTCTGCCTTTCCCTTCCTGTTGTAGCGGAGGAGGCAATGCCTAATGAAAAATCTCCTTGCCTAGGTGATGAAATGCTTCTATAAGTCAGTAAAAAAAAAAAAAAAAATTTAGCATAAACCAGTCAAAAAGCAGCACAATGCTGCACTGTCAGTCAGGCACATAGTGCACAGATATTTATCTGGTTTCTGGTTATCTGGGTTAGCTGGTTTCTGGGCAAGTGTAAGGCAGGGTTATGGTCCAGACAAATGCTGTGGTCCAACTGGGGTGTGCCACCACTTCTTGATTGCACCCAAGCAGAGGCAGCTGCCAGCTGTCTTTTGTCTGATGATTCCTTTGCATCTTCTCCCTATGGGGTTACAGTCTGAATAGTGGAAAGCTGCCGATTAGCAGGAGCGTGTGTATGTGTGCGTGCGTGCACGCAAGCAAATATCTCTGTTCTCTGCAAACACATTAGGATGCACAGTGCACAGGTCACAGGAGATCCAGTAACAAGCTGAGGAAGGTAAAAGGTCCAGGCTTCAGTGGGTTGTTAAACACCAGCTCCAAGTTCCAGCATAAGAAACTTATCCGTCCAAGTCACAAGCTTCTCTCTCCAGAGGGGGATAAAGAATGCATTCAGATCTCAGTGCCCACCCCCTCTCACACTCTCTGGGCCCTGAAGAGAGCCTGGCAAGAGGAGGTAGGCAAATAAGGATATGGATTGCAGTACCTTTGCAATACCTATCTGTTCCTTTCCCCCCTGAGAAAGCAGGCTATTGAATGCTCAGGGGATTTTGTGAAATCAAAGTCTTCTGGGGAGGAGAACACTGTGTTTTAGAATAGTGGAGGCAGCCCAGAGTTACGGGACTTGGGAGGTCGTTTAACAGGACCTGACCACTGTAGATGTCATCTTCAACCAGGGGCCCTCTGGACGGATCTGGGCTGAGATTTCCAAGCTGGCTCAGGTTCTGGTAGCTTGCTAGCCACAGTAATCTAGCTCCTGCAGCCTGCTGTGTAGATGCGAGCTGTCAGATGTGCTGGATTTACTGGCAAAAGAGCCCATGTTAGATGTAACCTCATCGGTGCATCAGCCAATGTCACAGAGAAACTCAATAGCAGAGCAGAGCATTTAACCTGGGCCAGCTGAGGCCTCCTCAGCTATCATCTTAACCACTGGCCTGTGCTTTCAGTGGACCACAGCATTGTCCAAGATCAGCTTGCAGATTAAGCCTTTGTATGTTATATCTGTTTCCACCCAGGTTTTTGTATTGCTTGAGTGTTTAGAGTGCAAGCCCTTTGCAACCCAGGCCAGGCCTTGCTCTGTGTGTACATAGCTCTCGCTCGGTGAGTGCTGTTCTGGACTCCATCCTTCCGCAGTGGAAATAATAACCCTTGGGTCTGTTTTCTCTGCTTTTTGTTTTACAGGGTCCTAGTGAGTCCACGGCAGAATCTGACTCGTATCCAGTTAAAGGGCACCTTCCAGGGGGCTAAGGTAGTCCGTGGCCCAGACTGGGAATGGGGCAATCAGGATGGTAAGGGTTTTGCGGTTTTGCTTTTTTTTTCAAAGAAAAAAAGAAAAAAAATCCTACTGTAAAAACATTGATTTTACTAAAGTGCTCATCATAAATGCATGCTGCAGCCAGGGAATTTGCTGGGGCCACTCAGACACTGCAGATTGCTTTATGAGGAGCTCTAATTATTCTTTATTTGCTTGTATTTGTGTAGAGACACTTCTCTGGCATCTTGTCTTCTTATGGTATTAGGGCAGCATGCAGGCATTCATGAGCTCATGCTCCCAGCCTGTCTCTGAGGTACCCCATGGCTGATAGATGGGGAAGCAGAGGCACTCTTGAACATTTATACAGAGCTGCAAAAATACACAACACCTGATAGAGCCTAGAGTCCCTTTCTGTGCCTCAGACAGCTGGCACTCTTGGTAGGAATTAGTATTGTTCTCTGAGGTCTCTTAATTTTTGGTCCTTTGATTTTTATTTATTTATTTATTTATTTTTAATGGGGCAGCAGTCCTCCATGTATCACAGAGGGAATCTGTTGACAGCAGTTAGTGCAGGATGACTTCTGCTTTCTCTGTGAACTATAGCTACAGACTTGATGCTGCAAAGGGACAAGAACCACCCCACTGCCACGTATGTCTTCCAACCCTGCCTGCAAGAAGGCTGCGCTTCTAGTGAGCCTGGTTCAAAGCTCAGTGAGGTCAATGGGAATCTTTCCATTAATGTCAATGGCCTTTGGCTCAGGCCCTCTGTGCAGCAAGGCTGCAAGGTCTCCCCTGTATGTTCCCGTCTCAGAGCCCTGCACAGATCAGGCTTGTTTTCCTCCATGTGATTCGACTGTAAAGCCTTCTTCCTGAGACTGAGTCTGTTTTGGCAGTGGGTCTGCAGTGGGTGCCGGAGGCTGTACACACTTGGAATCTGAAGGGAAATGGGGCCCGTGTCTAATACAGAGAAGCCGGCCCTGTGTGAGACGAGCTCAATATTTGCATACGTGAGAGTTGTGGAGCTCGAGGCAGCTAATGTGAGCAAAACAAAGGTGAGGCGAGGAGAAAGGGAGGCCAGGATCAGTGATGCTTCATTTGATGCCAATAGAGCTCTGTCTCCATACAGCAGCTCAGCACACAGCCTTCTGACCCCAGTTTCCTGTGATCACAATGGTTTCCATGTGTCGCCATACAAGTCCGGTTACACATGTAAATAGAGCCGATAAAGAGTCCTGTAAACATTGTTGGGGGCACTGGTGAGCGGCGTAATTAATCCCTCAGTTTCATGTGTCTTATTAGGGCAACAGCAGCTAAGTGCGACACTTAGTAATTTAATGGCCTTGCTTTTAATTTTGCTTTGTGGCTTTTTTTTTTCCCTGCTGCTGCCTGAAGCCCTCTGCAGAAATTAGCATGGGCTGCTGCAGAACGCGCTGATTAACCAAACTTTCCTCCCCGCTTCCTTTGGCTCCTCCCAAGCTGGCCTGGCAACTGCCTTAGCTCCTAAGGAGCTTGCACCTTTTACCGAATGTGTGTCTGTGCAATTTTCTCCCCCGGCCTGAGCCAGAATGCTACTGGAATGAAATCTGGGCCAGTGTTAACCACCTCCTTTATAGGAAAGGGTGTGAATGCAGAGCGGAGCCGGTGGCTTTAGTCAAGGCGGGAGATGAGGTTGAGAAAGCCCAGCCCCATTTGTCCCGTCCAGCTGCAGCTGCTCAGGGTCCAGGACCCCTGGTGGTTTGTCTGTAAGTGCCAGGCACACCAGTGACACGTTTGCATTTACCAGGTGAGTATCTCACTGCTGTAAGACCTCCTTGCCTCCACCTCAGCATGGTGATACCAGCCCAGGCAGGTATATTTGCCTCCTTCAGTGCTCCCTGCTACTCTCCAATGCACGGCCATCCCTCTCTGCCCAGGTCACCATGCTGGGCAGAAGGGAAGCTGGTGAGGCTAGGTTAGTCTCCCTTGTTATTCCCATCAAAAAGCTCTTAAGTCTCCTTGGTGGTGAAGCCAGCACTCTTGTTTTCCTCACTGAGTTAAGAGTCAGCTTCATGAAAACTTTTAAAGCAGGAAGGATCCTCCTCTGTGTTTGAAATGCCCCTCTTCTGCCCCATTTCACAGCTCCCTTCCCTCCTCCTCCTGCCTTGTCCTTGTCCCTCTGAAAGCTGATCCTGGCCAGCCAGCAAGGAGACAGCCTAAGATACCCACTTTGCATGTGTGCCATGCCATGAAGCCCCCCTGACAGCACTCTGCTACTGCTGTTCTCCCCGAGTCTGGCATCTCTCCTAGGAGCTTCCTCCAGGCTGCAGCATGTCACTGCCAGTCACTGGTCAATGGAGTGTGGAGAGTCCTAGGAGAGGCTGAGGCACCCCTGTGCTAGCACTAGGTCTGGGCAAGAATGGTTTCCCCACCCGGTGAGGGTCTTTGGGTTTCAAAAAAATGTTCTTGCGCTGCATTGGGCAGAATTCAAGACCCTGCAGAGCTGGGGTGTGTTTATTTGTTTCCAAAAAAGGGGAGGGGGAAGAGAATCAGCCCCAGTATAGCCAGTATGCTAATGGTGGGGACACTCTCTAGGGATGAAGGAAGCCCAGGTTCAAGTCCTCGCTCTGTCATTCCCCCTCATTCCAGGAGTATGTCCTAGCCACCCGGCTGCTGGCTCTGCTAGAGCGGCGCATCTGACCAGAAATCCCACCCCAGACCACAGAGAGTTCACTCCTGGGAAGTGTCCTCAAGCCATCCTGTTCCATCTGGTTTGAATAAATCGACATTTTCCAATCAAGAACATATTTCATGGAAAATATTCTGGCTGGCTCTGTCATTCCTGGAAGAAGAGGATGACCCCTGCCCGTGGAGCTGGGGCACAACACACCAAATAGGCAGGGAGTGGGAGAAGAGAAGGATCAGCACTCCTGTTTTATGGGACAGAGACGGGTGCTCATAGAGGTGAACTGGCTTGGCCAGTGTCCCAGAGGGAATCTCAGACAACAAGAAATCAAACCCTGCTCACTGAGTTTTAATCTGGACCTGCACTCACTTATTCATTAAGGCCTTTATCTTTGACCTCATACTGCTGTGGGTTAGTTTGCTGCTTGCTGGTTTCACCGGAGGCCTGGATCATGAGCCTGCTGTCCACGCTATGCTTCAGTCTGTCTCCGGTGGGCTGGTGCTAACTGCTTGCTCCTGAATGCACAAGGCCCACAGGGCTGACCTCTTTGGATGCAGCCCCCCTCCCTGAGAAATCGTCAGCCGGCTGCGCTTGGGGCTGAGCTGACCTTTCAGACAAGAATATTGTTACTAGCTACCTTTTTGGTAGGGAATTTGTTCTAACTGTGGAAGCTGTTCCAGACGTTACATCTTACAGGCACTGCCATCGTCCCACGTGCTTTGCAATTTACTGAATACCAGCTGCAGGGCTGGGCATTGAAATGGCTGCTCAAATGGCAGGATTGGAGTGTGGCTGCCATACAAGCTGAATATTGTCTGTTCTTCTCAAAGTCGCAAGGAAAGCTAGGTGCTGCACTCTCGTTGAAGTTAACAGTCTCCTTGATCAGTGATACAGTGGCAAGGAGAGTCTGAATGGCCAGTGGGCATGGCCTGCATTGTGGATTTGGGTCCCTATCTAGGAGTGCAGTTGGTGCAAAAGGTAGCACCTTCCATCAGGGCATCCAAGAGCTGTGCAGGCAGTTGCAACCTGGGAGCCTTGCTGGCATGCTGGAGTGCCTGCTCCTCTAAGGATGAGCAACCACTGAAACAGTCACGAGGCTATGTATGTGCTTGATGAGTGGTGAGGGAGGGAAAGAGGAACCGAAAGAAGTACCGTGTTTCTAACATGCCACAGCATGGCACTCTCATACCATACACTGCCTCAATGGGGCACCAGCAGGTTTTTAAAGGATCCTCTTGTAGAGTGCATCTTCTTGCCTCCATATTCAGTGCTGAAGTATCTCACATCAGGATTCTGTCTGCCTGGTGAGACCAGGGTCTCCAGGAGCTCAGCCTCAGATGTTTGTGCCCTCTGCAGCACGAGATGTGTGAAGCTCAAGGTGGTGAGATATTTGCCAGTAATACCCCAAAGGAAGGAAGAGTGGAAGGGGGATGCTGATGTAGGCAGCAGATGTGCTGCCTGCTAAACAGCTCCATGTGCTTGTCCTGGTTATGTGGAGCTGGGGTCCTGTGCATGGCCTTGCAGAAATCCCCCAGCCAGCTTCACCCGCCTGCCTGTCAGCACTTGGCTCAGCGCCCTCTGCTCTGTGGTAGGACTGTTGGAGCACAGACAAGTTTGCTTTGGCCCAGTCTGTCTCCCTGTTTCAATGTATTTATTTAAAAAGCATGCAGCAGAGACCTTATCTGTCTTTCTAGCGTAAAAGCTCTGGTCAGCTGCAGTCGTTTAAAAACATCCTCCAGCAGTTCCCCTGGAATCGGGCGGCCTAGCCCCAGTGCCCAGGCTAACTCCCAACTTCACTAATTAGATTCTGCTGAGTTAAATCGTTATCTACACACACAACCCAGCTCATCACTTCACTCTCCTGCCATAAGCACCTTGGTACCATCAGTGCCCTCATTTTTTAGAAATTAAAAAAAAAAAAAAAATCCAAATGTTCAGTTCATGCCTGCCAGCTGGAAAGAACTGCTGTGCTTACCTTGTAAGGCAGAATGAAGGGCCAGAAGGGGTAACCTGGATGGTATTTAATCTCGTCTTCCTGTCCTGTACTACCACACTGGGCCAGAATTGGTCTGACCACAGGATTAGGGTCAGAAAGTTCTAATTGTTGCTGTGACAGGGTTTCCTCTATAGCCACAGGTGGAGCCCAGAGACCCTTCATCTCGGCATCCCTACCCACGAAAGGGAGATCAAGTTAGCTGCAGCCCCTCATGAGGAATGAATTAACTTCTTTGGAGGGCCATAAAGAAGTTAGGAGGTCCTAGTCAGGGTGACTGAGCTATTGCTGAATGACAGTGAATTTCAGTCTATGGGAGCTCTGTGGAAAATGGAAGTTAGTCACCTTGTTTCTCTCTTCAATCAGGTGGTGAAGGCAAAACCGGGAGAGTGATGGACATTCGTGGCTGGGATGTGGAGACTAGCCGAAGTGTGGCCAGTGTCACATGGACTGATAGCACCACAAATGTTTACCGCGTCGGACACAAGGGCAAGGTGGACCTCAAGTGCATTGTGGAAGCATTGGGTGGCTTTTACTACAAAGAGCATCTCCCAAAATTAGGTGCGTGGCAAGTTGACTTTGGGCCATGGGCGTCTCGTAAGAATCTGCCAGTATTGACCGTTTCCAAGGATGTGGCACTTGAGTTGTCCTGCTTTGGTAGAGAACAGTTGGATGCCTACGGTTTCCCTATAATATATGGCATTTAAAATAACTTTTTGGTAACACCATGTTCTAATGGGGTTAGCTGGGACATCCAGCCCAGCCCTCCAGTGCTATGGGTACTTGGTATTCAAACTAAATGCCCACACCAAGTCCCACTGATAGAAAGGGTTTGTGGAGACAGTGAGACATTGCCTTGCCAGCCCAACTTTGTGAAACTGCTTTTGGAAGCTCCTTTTGTCCCAGCAGAGAGTTTAGCTCATGCCTCCTGAGTAAAGGGGGCTAGTTTTTCTTCCTCGCCTGCTCCCTTTCCTGCATCCCTCATTCCCCAGTTTGGATATATTTAAAGCAATCGTATGGATGTTAAAGGAGCAACTAGCAGAGGTAGCTAACTCTGGGTGCATTTTGGGGGCTGTCCTTCTGTTCAGGAAAGCCAGCTGAACTGCAGAAGAAAGAGAGCACGGCTCGGCACCCTTTCCAGCACGGTGACAAAGTGAAGTGCTTGCTGGACGTCGATATCTTGCGAGAGATGCAAGAAGGACATGGGGGTTGGAACCCTAAAATGGCTGAGGTACGATTGCCTTCACTTCTGCTCATTGCTTCCCTCAAGTCCCTCCTTCATGCTTTTGTCATACCATAGGAGATTGCTAGGACCTCCATGCATGTGGCATACTACCCTCTGGTTGCGTGGAGCACATATACTATCAAAGTTCTTCAGTGCCAAGGTGTTGGAGGTGCTTGTAAATCTGTGTTGTGGGATATCCCCCATGCCCTCGTTCTGCACTCGCACTGAGTTTGGTCCAGAGCTCTGCATGATAGTACACTAATCTGCAGATATTTTTTTTAATGAGCATTGGATCTGGCACCGGGCTTGTGGTCTCCATTCTCTTTTCAGCTTCCCTGTAGTGTGCAGTAGTGCTAATGGGAGTTGTCTGTGTTTCACCTGTGGGAGATTGGTTGTAGCTAGGGATTCACTATCTGTATGCTCCTCCCAGGGCTTAGCCTGTTTTTCAATCTTTGTTTTATGGACCAGTCTGTTGACCCTTGTTGTAGTCTACATAAACTCAGGCTGTAGATACCAGGACTGTAGATAGCATATTAGGGTAAATAGGCCGAGTTAATGGAACAATTAGAGTCATTCCAGGTACAATTCCATTTGTGGCAGACTGAACAAGAAAGCTCGAAGACTTTGCAACCTGTCAGAAAATAGCGACTGCTAGTAAATGTTGGCATTACTGGGGAAAGCAAGGATGCCAAACAGAGCCTCTAGACCCATTCTGTCTGGCCCACCTGGTAGGCTGCTGGAAGTCTGGGGGGACTTGACCATCGTTAGCAGCCCTCCCTCCAGCTCTGCGCTGCTGCTGAATGCAGCCCTGCACTGCTGTGCATCTCTGGATCCATGCTGCTGCTCAAAAGCAGCTCCATGCTGCTGCAGCCCCAGTGCAGCTCTGTGTTACCACCGGCCCCAGTTCCATGCTGCTGTCCAGCCAGAGGTCTGCACTGCCACCCAAATGTGGCCCTGGGCCATTGCTTGCCATTGGACCCATGCTGCCTCCCAGCCTTAGACCCATGCTGCTTCCCGAATGTGGCCCTGTGCTGCTGTCTGTCCCTAGGCCTGTGCCACTGCCTGAACACAGTCCCACTCCAGTTGCTGCTGGACTCATGGATTCAGCCTGGGAGGAGCCCCTGTGGCCCAGATCACCCTGGGGCCCAGGGTGAGTTTGTCATCCGTGACTTAAAAATGCATGATCTTGCAACCCTTTCATTGTGAGTGCTTCCTTAGTTACCTTCTTAGTCTCAAAGTCTGCTCACACAAGTTAGTTGGTCATAGGCCTGGGCCACTAGCCAAAACCTTCAGCCTTACATGCCAAAAGCTACTCGCCCTCACTGAACTCTCATCATCTCCCAAGGTGCTGAGCACCTTTGTCTTCAGCTGACTGGGAACTGGGCTGCTCAGCAGTTCTGCATCTATTCTGAGGCCAAGGTTCAGGTCCATGATTGTCAGTCTTGCCATTGTACTCAATGAAAGCCACGGCCTAACCGCAGCCCTGAGTAAGGCATCCAGATCCGCAGATCTCATCTGTGATTTACAAATCAGAATCTAAAGACCAGTCAGCCCTCGGGTATAATGCTCAGCTTCAAGGTCCCCACATGCACGCTGAATGCAAAATTAATCAGTTGCTATTGAGTTATGGGGAAATCTATCCTTTACCTGCCCTGACAAGTCCGTTCAGTTAGATTTAATATTCAGCAGAGGCTGCCAGAAATAGATAATGTTCCCTTAGTAAATAGACCATCAGACCTTGAAGAAGGGGTCTGAGCAGTGTCACTCTCCAGCAGTAAATTTAGTGTGGGGCAATAATATTCATTGACCTCCCCTGTATAAATGAAATTCATCCTGAGTTCTGATGCTGGGCAGTCTCTCCAGAGGTCTGCGTGATGGAACTGAATGAAAGTAATTCACTGGGGAGAGCAGAGGTTAGTATAAAACAGGACTCAGGGTGCTTATATATATCACATATGTGTCCAGGGGATCATGCACAAAGCAGGTGTGATACAAGCTGCATTGAAGCTTTGGGATGGGAAACCCCATTATTTATTTTTTGCTGAAACATTGACATAAATAAGTCTTTTTTCTAACTAGCGCCAAAAGGCACTTGGTCAAATTACGTCCCTTCATCATTCATTGCTATGCAGCTTGACAAGCTCTGTTGTTTACTAATCAGTCCCTCTTTTGGACAACAGGGAGGAGGAAGTACTTCTACAAATGTAAATTGCTGTAACTCCGTCCATGGAGAGGCAACGGTTTATGCCAGCTGCTGTTTTGCCCCTAGAAATGCAGGCTAAAGTGTTGCTGTGGGGACTAATACAGTCCACCCCACCCTCATTCAACCTGAATGTATGATGACTTCCATTGCTTGATGCAGAACTTGGATCTAGCTGATGAAACTCATAGAGCTGTAGTCAGTTTGATTTTTCTTTGGCACGTTTGTGGAGCTGTCTCAGAGCTATTGCCTGCTGACAAGTGCTGTAAGTCACAGACTCGCACCGTGATAGCTGAAATGGAAAGGTCTCTTGCTACAGCAGGATAGGAGCTCCCCTGTGCTGCCCATGCCCCTCCACTGCATTTTCTCTCTGATGTTAAATTGCTACACTTCATTGTAGTCATTGCTCATCTGCACCAGCTGTTGTGGGTAGTGGTCATTTTCTACCCTGTTTTGCAGGCACTGATTTCTGCCCCCTCCCCCCCCAAATAAGCCCAGCTTTCTTTTTATAAAGAGGAGTCATCTCCTTTCATGAATGAGCACGTGGCTGCATCCTCATTAAATTTGGCCTGTGAATTGGAATGGAGACAATGGCTAATTTTAGGCGGCAGACTTCTTTTCCTTGGAGAGGCTCCTTCCCCTCCCTAAAGCAATGGCATTTATTCTATTCTCTTTTTCTCCTTTCCATTTCAAGTTCATTGGCCAGACAGGCACTGTGCACAGGATCACAGACCGAGGGGACGTGAGGGTCCAGTTCAACAGCGAGACCCGATGGACTTTCCACCCAGGAGCCCTGACCAAGGTGAGTGCTGCTGTGTGAGCCTGGCCAGGACAAATAGCTGGGCAGAGGTTGACATGCACTCTCTCAGCAGTTGGGGGATGACTTGGTTGGTCTTGTTCAGGGGCCAAAGAAAAGGGCGGGTGGACAACAGGGTCAGCTATTCATTCCTTATGAGGCCAAGAATAACCATTGCAGACCTTGTGACCACTGAGTTCTTTAGGTCTTCACTGGGATAAAACCTTGGTTTTTTGAGCTGAAGTCTGCTAAGAGGCTGGTATTCAAGGGGAAGCGAGAGACTGGTAACTGCAACGGCATGATCCTAACACCCAGCTCCTACAGCAGGAGGCTGATATGGGTAGGAGAAACATGGGAGTCAGGGGCAGGTTCCTCTCTGTTCGGCAGCTTCTTAGGAGCTGTGCACAGGTTGGCTCTGCAGCCAAAATCTTCCGAATCAGAGGCAAAGGAGCAGGAAGGTTGCACCTTCCTGAGAACAAACTGTTTGGTCTGTGCCACTCACACAGCTGAAAGGTCACTGACAGGCAAAATACCTTTATCAAATAAAGTCTGACGCTGCCCCTGCAGAAGTTGGTGGCCAAACTGCTGTTGGCTTTGTACAGGATCTAGGTTAAAGGCTGCTGTGCTGCACTAGAGGTGAAATGTCCTCCTTATCATACCTGGCAAGCCTCTTCTTCCGGCTTCTTCAGACCTTTCCGGCAGGCAACCTGCAAAATGAAGGGTTGGGAATGAGGCTTGAGTGTGACTTAGCTTCCTTATGACTTTGTGCTAAGGTCTAGAAGACTTCTTGCCTGATTATATTCCTCTCTGGTTTTGCATTGGAAAGTCAAGGCCCCTTCACCCTTGGCTAACTCCTCGGTTACTGGAGGTTGAATGGAACGATGACATTGTGAAAGTGAAGATTGAGCAATGGGGCTGGAAGGGAAATCTGCAGTTTTATGGGGGCTGTGTATATTAATTCCTGTTTTACACCAGTGACCAACCAGCATATTAGCCGGGGAACTGTCCGTGTTATTTCAGTGACAGCACTTTCCCCGAACACATGCTGTAGGACAAGCAGGGGGGTTTCCATCAGCCCTGGGAGAGTCCTTCCTGTGAACTGTCAGATAGGCAGGACAGACACTATGTAAGAAACAGGCAGGAACACAGAAAAGGAGGCAGACCTTGACAGTTTCTGTTTAAGCCTTGCCTCTTCACATGCTCTGCATTCCCTTTTGCCCATCAGTAACTTCCCTTTACCTCTCTCTGTCAGGGTATCGGACCCTGACCCTTAGCCTGCCTGCTCTTGGGGAGGTGAATGTTCTTCTTCTGCTTAGACAGTGTGTGTAGACACCTAGGGATGGTATCCACACGCATTTGTTCTTGCCAGCAAAGAGATCTGGGCCCCAATTCAGGAAGGGGTCCACACCTGTGGTACAGGGCTGAGGAGTTCCTCTTCAGTTATCATGACCACCTGCCCCCCCACCCCCCTGTCAGTCCAGGGGACCCCAGGGGATTCTTGGCACCCAGTGATCCAAGAGAGGACAGGTCCGAGATGGCAGGTCACCTGAGCCAGGGCTTCCCCTCCCTGGCATCAGCTTGAACCTCACAAAGGCATCTCAGCCTCTCGCTCCCTCTCATCCTTGCATCCTTCAGCTGCCTCTCTCTTCACCGCAGGGTCTCTGTACCCTGCTGCCCTATCTCTGCCAATGATCTTCTACTCTGTCTGGCTTCTCTAATAATAGTAATAACAATATAATGAATGCCCTGCCTTTACACAGCCCCTTTTATCTTCAGAGCACTTTTCACACCCTGCAATGAATTTTTCTTTCTCTCTTTCTTGTTTTCATGTTTTTTTCTTGCCATGTTCTTCAGCCACTTCCAGAGTCCTTCTCTCCATCTCTGCCTAACTCCTCTAGATACAAGTCTTCTAGGCTTGGGTCTCTGTTTCTAAAGTCAAGGTTTCTGGTCTTCTCCTGGGTGTCTGGGCCATGACAAAGTAGATGATTTAAACCTCAGCACGGGATGTATATGATGGGCACAGAACGACCACAGGCCCCACACTGTGGAAAGGGATCATCTGTCCAAGGAAGGAAATGGCTGAGCTCTGACTTGCATTTCTAGTGGAAGTAGTGAACAGAGTTAATTCTGGTATCGGGAGAGCAGAGATATTCTGTGTGCACAGGATCACTAACCAAGGTCAGCCTGATCCAGGCTGACCTCTGTGCAAACACAATCACTGGTGAGCAGCAGCCAGAGAGAATGGTGCCACTCCAAGCTCTCTGCTCTGCATAATCTGCACTTGGCCTATTTTAAGGAGCAAAGTGGTGACGTTTCTGCCAAGCGTAGAGCTCTGAGGACTTTGCTGGAAATGGGGGGGGCGCTCTTTTGAATGCCTTGTTGCTGGTCTTCTGGTTTCATCCCCCCAAGCTTATGATTTTCTTTTTCTTTTAGCTCAACACCTTTTGGGTGGATGATGTTGTCCGAGTGATAGATGATATGGAAACAGTGAAGCGATTGCAAGCTGGTCATGGGGAGTGGACAGATGAGATGGCACCTGTGAGTGCGCGCCAGCTCCGAGACAGTCCAGTAACTTGCTAACTTTTCAAAAACAGATTAGCACTAGCAGCTGGGCTGGCCAGCTGCCCTGCTCTTCACCACCTCTTAGTGGTCGGTGCCTGGAGACATATGGGCATGCAAATGCCTTGCAAAAGAAATGTTACTTAATGTGACTGGTCATTGGCAACATGCCCTTACAGCAACATTCAAACTATGGGCAAAAGGGAGGAGGGAAAGCTTGCCCATGGAGGTGGTCACCAGGGAATTTATGATGCAAATCCATTAACCAGGCACAAGCAATCTTAGTGCCTTCTCTTATTTCCTCCTTAATTCCCAGGGCTGAGGGGGGAAAGCACAAATAGCAAATGATCTGATCAAACCAATTGTGGCTAAAGAGCAGAATCTAGAGTGCTCCGTCAGTGCAGTGGTGAGCCCCAGTCTGGTAGGGTTTGGTACACCATGCTTTGCTGTTTCACTGGCTTCCTCCCCAGACGTATTGCATTGCGTCTTTGGGGACCTCTTCCCCTGCAGCGTGGAAAGGCAGCTGTACAGCCAATAAACAAGAAGCCGATGCGAGCACTTACCTGGCCACGAAAGGGGAGCTGCCAACTGTAGTGTGTCACCGATCAGTGCCTCTTCATGTGCTGGGAAAGCTGTCTGGGAATTTGCCCTTAGAAATGGGGCCTTGCCTGAGAGATGCAGGAAACGCATCCATTCCAGGGTCTTTAAAGCCTCTCCCTTCTTCCCGTTGCAGACGCTAGGGCACATTGGCAAGGTGATCAAGGTCTTTGGGGATGGGAACCTGCGGGTGTCTGTCGGAGAGCAGTCCTGGACCTTCAACCCAGCTTGCCTCACAGCCTACCAACGAGATGAGGATGCCAACCTCATGACAACGGAAAACGCCAAGGAGTCAAAAAGTGAGTGGGCACACAGAGGCCTGGCCCCCCTCCATCTAGTCTTGAGAAACACCTTCTGGGGATCTGTAGCACAGTGGCTGCCCTTTTCTGCAGATCAGGTGGGAACCTAAATACTCGTATCCCCTGTTCCACTAGAGCACACTCAAGGGAGCTGGGAAGTTACAGTATAGCAGCATGTAGGGCCTCTCTGTTCTGCTCCAGGTTGTCACAGGATCACTGTTTTGACCATAGGCAAATAGCATAACCCTGCCATGCCCTGGTTTCCTGGTCCTTAGGGTGGGCATAATGATGCTGCTCTACTTTATTGGGGGTAAGAGTTAATTCATGAAGGTTTAACTTGTTAATGTTTGTAAAGTGATTTCAGACCCTTGCCAGCCTCTCTATGAACAGCATTATTTTGCCTAGGCCATGCTGTGTCCTGTTTGTGTGGGCTGCGTTCTTGTTCTGTTTTCTCTTGTCTGTTCATAGATGTTTTGTGGCCTCCCTGTGATTTTTTTGAACAGGCAGGAGGGTGGGATGGCATAGGGGGTAGATACATACATAGATACACATGCTCTACCTCAAGTAAAGGTATCAAATTCACCTGGCACTGCAAGCCAGATGAGCAGCACAGGGCTAGCCCCACAGGTGAGATCAGGTCCATGGGCATACTCTGCTCCCATATGCTGGATCCAGTCCCTGAAGTGCCTGCTTCAGCCAATCCAGGATATGAACTCAAGTCCCACACCAGCTGGAGTGGGCACTGAATGCAGCACAGTCCAAAGCCAACTAGAGCAGGTGCTCCATTTAGCATGCATGGGGCTCCTGCTACCTCTCTCCCCTGCTTGCTGGATCTGGTGCCCATCTTGGCTGGTTCAGGACTGTGCCACACATGGTGCCCACTTCTAGACCCACAGTGAGCACACAGCCTGCCCCAGGGAGCGGCCGGGGGGCACAGTCTGGACTGGCCCCATCTGGGTGCTGCACATGTCCCAGGCCCACGTGCAGGGCTACTTCAGTGCCCACTGCACATGGCATCTGGCTCAACTTGAGACCCAAGGCCAAAGGAGAGGGCCAATGATGTGGCTCTTCAGGCCAGATGCAGCCTGTGGGCCGTATTTTTGACACCCCTGATCTAGTGAATTCATCCAGTCTTGTGAGAAACATTTGGATCCATTCAGGAGCCTGGTGCTGAATCTTGTCTGAGTTTGAGCAAGGTTCAGGTCTAGATCCAAGCTCCTTAGCTCTGCCCTGTCTGATGGAAACAAACCCCTGGAGCTCCCTTCAGGCACCATGAATGGAGACCACATCTGAGGTGCTGTGGTCAGGATTTTCCTCTCACCTTCAGAACATGAGTTTTTTTTATTTTCTTACAACTCCACCTTTCCCTAGAACCAGGAATCCACGTTCAGAATACTGGTTGCATGTACGTAATGAACCCCTGGGACTGTTCCCAGGATCTCTGGAGCTAAATACACAAGCCTCTCTGGCTCTGGCTAAGGCACTATGGCCTGTAACCAGAGGCCATAGCAGGTCTGTAACACTCTTTATGCAAGCCTGCCATTGGGGGAAGCAAAGGTCTGCACTGATAATGCAGGCTGTGCTCTCCATGCCAGTTCCCACTGCATAACCTGGGGCTGTTTCTCATTCTTACCCAGGCACTCTGATCAGCATCCTGGAGAAGCTGCTCTCCCAGAAGGCAGAGTCAGATCACCCAGGGCGCTTGGTCCTCGAGGCAGCACATGGCAATGCTGCAAAGGTCCGGGACCTGGTGCAGAAGTACCCTGACAAGGCAAGGTCCAGGGGGCATTTATTGCCTGGCTGTAAAGCCTCTGCAAAAGGGCGGGGGCAGGGGACAGAGGGGTGTGCAGCTAAACCCTTATGTAAGCTACAAACAGCTGGCGAGTGATTTTTGCTTGAACTGAAGATTACATTTGCATATTTCGTAGCCTAAATTAATTACTCTAAATCCGTGCTGGAGTTAAGTACTCACAGCCAGTTTCTGAAGCTGGCTGCTCCCAGGGGTTATTCTCCTCGCAGAAGGGCTGACTCCAGAGCAGAGCTAGGCATGTTCGTACTCAACACAAGCGCCGTGCATGGCAGGACAGCCGAGTCCCAGAGCTCCCCTGGGGGCCCAGAGGTGGCAGCTGCAGCACCTGCCCCTGAGTTGGGAGGCTCTGGTTCCCCAGTGGGCAGAACTCCCCTGGGTCTGCTCAGGTGCTCAGCTGGAAGCATTGTCCAGTGGCTAGAGCAGGGGGTGGGGAGTTGGGGGATCTGGGGGCTGTGTGCTGTCAGCTGGCTGGAGCTGTAACCTCTAGTGAGCCCCTGAATCTTGTCTGATTGTGACAGAAGGAGACATCTGTTCAAAGTGCCAATCCCAGCATCATTTACATGAATGCAGAACTATTCTACTGTAGCAATATGCCCTGTAGCCGGGGCCTGGACCTCATAGTCTGGATCCTTGGGTTCTGTTCTTGCCTCTGTTACTGACTTGCTGTGTGACCTTGGGCACATCACATTGCATCTCTGAGCCTCAGGTCCTTTATCTCAGGATCACCACACCTTTCTGCCTGTGCAAATATCTGCTGATGACAGAGGCTACACAAGATGCTCCTTCTATGCATATGTGCTGAGGCCCCCTGCAGTACATGCATAATCTGTATGAGTTGTGGCTGGCGTGCAAGTACAGCTACAGGGGTGTTTCTGAATGACTTGGGCAGTGCTTTTACAGCCAGGAGCCAGGCTGTTGAGCTCTCCTCTCCTCTGATCCCTCCCCCACTCAAAGAGGACCCAGCTGCTTTAGCAAGGGGTAGAGTCTGCAAATCAGAAACGAGAGAGCAGGATGCTTCAGCACAGTGTGCTTGGAGGGGAGCATAAATTATGGCAAGGCTATAACCCAGGGGCGGGCAGTTATTTTGGGCAGAGGGCCACTTACTGAGTTTTGGCAAGCCATCGAGGGCCACATGATAGGAAGCCAGGGGCAGAAAAATATTAATTTTCTAAATTTTTTAGGGGCCCTGCAGGCCAGATAGAATGGCCTGGCAAGCCAAATCCAGCCCCCGGGCTGCATTTTGCCCACCCCTGCTATAACCACATGGCCAGGGAGGACAGATTGATGGACCAACAGCAGTGCTGGAATCTGTTCTATGGGGAGATTAGCAATGTTGAGCGCCAAGGTCTGATTTAATGGTTTGCCGGACCATTATTTTTGCTTGTTATCTATCCACAAAGCTGACCAGGCCAGTAGAGATGATGAGTGGACCTGTAATGAAATATAAGAAGTATCCAGGCACCTGTGACTGGGCCTAATGCGTCTGCAGTGAGTGAGCATCAGGGGTCAGGAATAGTCTCACTTTATCTCAAGACCTTAGGTCTGCATTTCTCTTTTGCCAGTTTTTTCTAACTGGCGAGAGACAAATGGAATTGAAAGCTGGCTAAGCAAAGACAGGGAGTGTTAGTCTCAATCCATCCTCACCTAGACTACTTTCTTAGCAGCACTGCCCAAGAAGAAACCCTGCCTGACCTGCTCCTGTGACCAATGCATAGGTTTAACTGCAGAAAAACTCCCTTTGCTGTACTTGCCAGGGCACTGAGGCTTTGCCAGCTCCCCAGTCACTCCCCCTGGGCCAGTCATTGATTTCATTACCTTCCTTGCCCTCCTGTCTTGGCCTTGCATACAGTGCTCTTTTGTTCACCAGCTCTTTTAATCCTTAAAAATCTTGTAGCAGCAGCTTAGTCCTATGATTCACCATCCACACACTGTACCCAGTATGGAGACCAGGGTGACTTAAAATACTTTGCACGTATAAGGGGCTTGGTGTCACCAAAGCCCTATGCATTATTTCATCTTCCCCTCCTGTATGAGAGAGGGAGCCATGGTCAGGTACTGTCAGCATGGTCCCAGAGAGAGTTGGCATGAGAGGAGGGATTAGAGCCCGGATGTTCCTGGCTTTCCAGGTATATGCTAGCCCTGCTCTCTAGTCAATGCAAAGTGCTGTCCTCCTACAGCCCAGGGATACGCTGAACAGGAATTGCTTTTTCTTTTGCATTTGTACAGCACCCAGTGCAGTGGGGCCTCTTAGTGCTTCTGGGCACCACTGTACTGCAGCTAGCCATGGACTCACTCTGCCATCTGGTTACACAGAGAGCAATGCTGCCTCGGGGTCTGAGAGCTGGGGTTTCCAGAGCACAGTCTCCTGGAACAACTCTGTGCCTTGTTCTTTCTGCTCTCATAGGTCGACATTAAGAACCAGGGCAGAACTGCGCTCCAGGTGGCAGCCCACCTGGGCCGGGTGGAGGCTGTGAAGATCTTACTCCAAGCTCATGCCAGCATTGACCTGAGAGATGAAGAGGGGGATGCGGCACTGCATTATGCAGCTTTTGGGTAGGAACCAAGTCATGACCTCACTGACTCTCTCTGCTGATGGCCAGAGGCTCAGCTGTAAATGAGGACAGAGCTGGAGCTGAACCAGCAGCCCAGAGAGGTGGGAGCAGGCACAGAGCTATGGCAGGCTCAGAATTTGGCCCTACAATGCCAGGGGCCACAGGGTGGTTTTGTGAAGCACTGATCCCCAGGGGAAAGTCAGTTCTCCACGGTACAGTCTCCTTGGGACTAAATGAGGATTTGGGAATGTGAAAGGAAGCAGATGATGGAGCTTTCTTGGGTTCCTATTACAAAAATGTATTTGCAGTCCAGAGAAAAAAACAAGGCTGAATTCTGCCCTCTGCTACCCTGCTGGCAATCCAGACCAGCTCCATCAAGGCCAGTAGGACCATGACCACCCTGGCTCTTCGCCAGGATAACAGTCTGGGCTCCTACTAGGCAAGCTTTTTAATTGGAGGTGGGATAGAAAACAAGTGCAAGAACCAAGACAGGATGTTGCCTTGGAGAAAGAGAAATGACATCCCATGATCTTGGCATCCCGTTTCTCTCTCCTTCTGAAATCAGGAACCAAGCGGAGGTCGCCCGTTTGCTCATGAGCAAAGGGGCCAATGCTGACCTGCTAAATAATGCAAAGTGCACAGCCCTGTACGTTGCAGTCAACAAAGGATTCATGGAGGTGGTGCGGGCCCTTTGTGAGCATGGCTGTGACGTCAACCTCCCGGTAGGCCATTTCACTTTTATGCCTCTTGTGGCTGCAGGCTTTTTTTCGACCTATGTTGAATATGATGTTAGATGCCCAGCATTTAATGGTGTACCTTCCTGTTGAACGCGGCACAAGCAAAATGCACCCTGGACTTTGGCGTGGAGCATTCTGCTCCTGCGCCTTCCCGGTATTCCAGGCTGCAGCCATTTTGCTACACACAGAAATGTGCAGACAAAACAGTTAGACTGGCATCCTCTGAAAGTGATCCAGGGCTTGCGTCTGTCTCTGCCCCCTGCCTTCACTGGGTCCTTGGGAGTGGTGTATTTGACCAGAGGCTTTGTGACGTAACCAAGGCTGTGCTGTGACTTCTTCTGGCAGGACTCATATGGCGACACCCCCCTGCATTATGCCATCACCACAGACTTCAAAGGCATCATTGAGATCCTCACAGAAGTACCGAACATTGATTTCACTGTCCAGAATCGCCAGGGCTTTAACCCACTGCACCATGCGGCTCTGAAAGGAAACAAGCTGTGAGTGACAAGAAACTTCCTGCATCCTGCTTTGTCCGGGCTGCAACTGATGTCCCTGGGACAGGAGTGGGGAAGGGATAGGAGGTGAGGGGTGGCCTGGGACAGCCAGGGTGCTCTCCCCATATGCGGTGGGGCAGATGCCTGGGAGCCATTCGCAGATCAGCACTGATAGGGGAAGTCACCATCTGTCACAAGGTCTCAAGCAAATTCCCTGCTTTGCTGGGGATCAGTGCAGCACCACAGCTGTGATCGCAGCGGCAAATTCCATGTGCTGGGAGGCCACTGTTCTCCCAGGGTAAAGGGATGGGAAGGAAAAGCCTTTGGAGGAGATGCCTGAATGCCAAGGACATGGAATTATACAGAGCAGCAGACCTGCTCCAGCAGACTTCAGCTTGCTCAAAAAGACCTTCCCCTTCCATTTGGCCCTGCCCCAGAGTGAGTCTCCTCTCCTGTGGGTTCAGGAAGGAGATCCCTTCCTCAAAGAGCTGAGATCCCTGACAGAAAATGCAGGCTGGCTGATCCCATTCCCCACCACCACCCATGGAAGCCTTCCCAGTTGCATGCTTGATGCCTACATTTAAAACCTTTGGAGCAATTTAATATTCTGTATGTTTGTCTGGCAGCCAGAGCCTAGTGCAAGTGCCACTCCAGGCCCAGCATCAGCTACGTACGTTGACAGATGAGACTGAGGTCAAGTGCATACCAGGAAGTTTTGCTGGTTAAAGGGCTGGTTCTTAGACAGCAAAAAGCACCAAGGTAGATGCAGTCAGAAAAATCCCTTTGTTGGTCCCTTACTCCACTTGGGGAGCTAGTATAAATAGCATCTCCACTAGTTGGAGTTGTACCAGCCAAGCCCTTCCAGCAGAAAGAATGGCGCTCTTTCCTCTCATCTTTTCCCAAGACTGAGAGATTCTTATAAACGTCAGGATAAGGACAAAAAATAATTCTGTTGACATCTCTGAAGTCCAAGAGAAACATTTCCTAATGCCTGGCACTCAGAGATGGGTTCATTGAGATGTTGGTTATGACGTTTGTATGGCCCTGAAGAGACATCAATATCCACTTCTCAGAGAGGGCAGAAAAGCTGAGGGGGAAAATGTACTAAATTGCTGATGCTAGAGCAAAGGTAAAACATGCAGCCCCTTGAAAGTAAGGCATAGAAACTGTTCGCTTTGCTCTGATTTTTTGCTTCCCATGGTTTATAAAAAGAACCAACCTATCGCTATGAGGTTTCTCGTACCCAAGAAACTCATCAGCTGGTTCCTCCGCTATTTTAGTGGTAGGCAGATAGTTATCTGGTAAAAAATTCCACATAGAATTTAATACCCCAAACTAGATGAGTGCACAGGGCTGAATTCACTGCTGGTGTGAACAGCTGCAGTTTTAGAGCCAACAGAGCTATGTCGAACTGGTATCGGCAAAAATGTGGCCTTTGGTGTCCTTGTCCTTTTAAAAAGGAAAAGGACACCAAACGTTGAGGAGCTGAAACACCCTTCCCAAAGGACTCTGTGCACTGAGGCTTCTTTACTTTGGTAGAAGAGAAGCTGCTTTTCTGCTTGCTGCCTCCTGCAAAAGGAGAATGTTCCTTATGCTTCTGTATTTACTGGGTCAAACCATGGGGAGTGGTTCTGCAGTGTATACTCCTCCTGTGCCTCTGTCCTATAGGTGGGTGAGGTTTATTACCTTAAAACTCCTTTCCCTGCCCTCAGTCTCTCTCCCCACCTCAATCCTCCAGCTACCCGTACTGACCCTAACTTCAAATCCTGTGGTGAGCTCTCACTGTGCCTCCACAGTCTTGGTTAGGATAACAAGGGGAAAGACTAGGGCTGTGTGAAATTTCAGCAGCCGTTTTGTTTTGGAGGTGCAGAATCAAAAATGGAAGGCTTTGAAACGTTTCAGAGCCGGGCTTGGAGGGAAACAAGGAGAGGGAGGGGAAGGAAAGGGGGAAGGACTGCTCTGATAGTGACATCTAGCTCCAGGTTCGATTCCCCAGCTCTCTGATCACTTCCCCCAGCTCTTCCTGGGGGCACGGCCCCCAGATCTGCGTGCAGGGTTTCAGTAGGCTGGGGCCAGTGGCCATTGCTTGGTGCAGCCAGCGCCGAGCACCGGGAAGACTGTGGTGCTACCACTAGCCCCAGCCTGCAACGGCAGCCTTTTGAAACCCAGCACACGGATCCGGTGGCCGTGCTGCCTGGGAAATGCTGGGGGAATGATCAGAGTGGTGGGGAATCAAACAGGGAACTGGGGAATTGAACCAGGGGCTGGAGAAACGAACAGGTTGGCTGGGGAATCAAACCCGTTTTGCACAGCGCTAGGAAAGACTGGACTGAATTTGCCCTGGGTGTGTTGTGCAGGTTAGGGAAAGTGCCACTATAGATACAAACAGGCATTGTGAGCTTATCCCAAGCTATTAAAGAAAAATCAAGGGCCCTTGCTGGGCTCTTCTAACTCAGTATGCAAGATGGAGCTCAATCAGCCTCAGCCACAGACTCCTTTATCGTCTTAGGAGCGTTCATAAACAATGAGCAGAGGAAGCAGGTTGGTCTCTTCTGCATCACTTGCCTTCCTGGTAAGTAATACTCTGTCCTCTGGTTCTACTTCTTGTCTCCCCAGTGCCATAAAGAAGATCCTGGCAAGAGCCCGGCAGTTGGTCGATGCTAAGAAAGAAGATGGCTTCACCGCCCTGCATCTCGCTGCCCTCAACAACCACAAGGAAGTGGCAGAAATCTTGATTAAAGAGGTAAAGAACTGTCCTGAGAAGCAGCAGGTGGATGTGTCAGGTCACTGCCACCTCTCTGGCATTGTTCTGCAGGGAGATTTGTGTTGTGTGGGGCTTAGAATAGAGAAGCTGGGACTGCCTAGACAGTGGCAGGGAGTGGAGTATCGTAAACTGAAACAAGGAGTTAGAGTTGGTTGGGAGTCTGTGTGTCTAGGGGTTCGGGAGCAGAGGAAAGGACACCCCGGAAATTCCCTGGGATGTGGCTAACACCATTGTCCAACCCCTGCTCTGCCTCATGAATGCTATAGGTGCTGGGCAGCTCTCCCAGTGTCCCTCTCTTCTCTCTTGTGAAACATTTCTAAGGGCCTCCATCCTGCCCTGTTCTACAATAACAAGAACCATAAATCATTTTGCTCCCCAGAGCTCTCATTTTCAGGCTACCCCTGATGAGATGCTTTTCTGGCCCCTTGGGGGCAGTGCTCTCTAACCATGAGAGCAGGGAATTGCAAGTCAGGAAATGAATCCAAGTTTTGCCAGACTTCAGCACAGCCAAGGCCTCAGGCCTGTGTTCCCACCTTTGGGAAACAGCATTGCAGAAAGCAGTGGCTAGATCTGGGACTCCAGGGATTGGGTTGCAACTGGCACCAGCCTATTCTCATGCCTTGATTTCCCCATCTGTACAGCAATGCATACCTAGGTACAGTGGTACCATCTTGGACTGATGATGGGCACTGATGCCTCAGAACGAGTCCACAGTGCTTGTTACCAGAGCAGTCTCCTTGAGGAGAGGACTGTAGCAGGATGATTTCATTGTTTCTGGTACAATCCCCTTGTTAAACCACCTGCTCCTTAAAGGCCGACTGTATTTCTAATTCCACCCTTTGCAGTCTCAGTGCAGGGGCAGAATAGCCCGCTGGGCCCAGCGCAGGGTAACCTCTCCCAAGGGGCTAGCGTGTTTGCTGTGTCCTGTCTGTCGCAGCAGGGAGCTTTTCCTATTATTCTCTCCAAGGGCTTGTGGGAAACTGAAGCACACAAAGCAATTGGGGGTCTGCCTTGCTTTGTAATGCTAAGGAGCTAGTCTTTGACTGCCTGTCTGGATTCATCCCAGCCTTCCACATGCGAGAGTCTAGCAGTTTACTAGCTGTCACATCCAGATCCTTTCCAGCCAGGAAAGTGATTTCCTTTGAACAGTCCTTGCGCTTGTTTGTGTCTGGTCCAGCCAGTGCTTTAGCACCTGACTGTCCCGACTCCTGGTCTGGTGGCCGGATCACTTTGCAACTCCCCTGGGGAACGCTATATCCCTCTGGGAACTGCAGTGTGCAACTGCCTTTGCTGCTCTTGCACTGAGAGAGGGTTGAGGCAGGTCCCCTCCCTGAAGCATGCAGCCAGTTTGCCTGCTGCTTTGCAGTGACCCATCTGCTGGGCTATTTCCTTTCTTCAAGGGCCGCTGTGATGTAAACCTCAGGAACAACCGGAACCAGACCCCGCTGCACCTGGCCGTCACACAGGGGAACGTGGAGATGGTGCAGCTGCTGGTCAGCGAAGGCAGCGATGTCAATGCTGAGGATGAGGATGGGGACACGGCCATGCACATTGTCCTGGAGCGGCAGCAGCTCATGTCCATCATGTTGGAGGAACAGGAAGGGAATGAGGGACAGTCACTCTTCTCCATGGTGAGGGACGGGGGTGTTGCCTGATGTCACTGGAATGACCCTGAACAGTCACACAAGGAGAGGGGAGATGGTCTCCTAAGGTTTATTTCCAGCCCAGAGTGGGATTGGGGGAGAGTGTGCTTTATCCTAGAATAACCCAGTGGCCTAGGGGTCTGGATGCTTGTTTGGGTCCTGGGAAATTTGTCTTGGAGACCCGGGTTTGGAAGAAAGCCATGAATCTTGGTCTCCAAAGGCTGCTTGTGGTAGGAGGGGGCTGCCCCAAAGCAGCTAGACTGCAAACTCTCTGTACGTGCATCTTGCAGGCCTGAGAACTGAGGCCAGGTGTTCAGGACCTTACCCACGATGAGGGCCCCTGCAAGGCTTAACAAAGACTGTTTCTCTCCCTTGCTCAGCTAAAGGCATCAGGCTTCCTTGGGAACACAGAGCTGAATGTTGGCTCTGCAATTGCCTGTTACTTGGCACAAGAAGGAGCGGACATTAATTACGCCAACCACAGGGGAAAGTCTCCTCTGGACCTCATCACAGATGGCCGAATAATCCTGATCATCAAGAACTTCGCCCAGAAATTCAGGTAGACTGTAGAGCAGAACCCATCTCTTCCCCCCTGAGCCTATAACCACAAGTCATACCACTCCCAAGGAGCCCTACCTCTGGCCAGGCTACGAGCACCCCACCCCTGCTGCAGTTGATTTCAGTGATGGGTGGTCACTTAGTTCCAGGAGGAGCTCAATGCCTGGCAAAATCAGGGTGAGGTCAGAACTTGCCGTCAGTCACCAGCCTGTGGCATCTCCCTGCTGCCAGTCTGACCCCTTCTAGTTTCTAGCAAGCTGGATGTTGGCACTGCATCTGCAGGCTCATGTTCGAGTCAAGACCAGTAGCTCAAGTGGCCAAGAGCCTCTCATTTCTCTAACCAGGGGCAGTACTGCACGTAAGGCCAGCCTCCTACTGCACCTCTCTGCCATACCATCTGCAACGCATCCTTTTGTAGTTCCTCTGCTCTATTCCTCATCTCTCATACCTGGGGGTGGAAGTGAGTTTCTGAGCCTCTCATCACTGGTGCTGACCTTTTGCAGGGCACTTCTGGGTTTCATTCTACTCTGTCACACAGCCAGCCCAACCAAAGGGCAGGAGGAGAGGAACCCCAAATACAGAGGCCTCTCAGCTCGAACAGTAGCTGGACAGTGTCCATTTTTGAGCTGGAAAAAAAAGCGTGATCCCTGCAGCAGCAAATAGAGCTGTCATCACCCAAAAGCACCACTGCCATCTCTGTTGCCATCCAGTCCCTCTCTTCTCCCTCTATAGACCAAGCCAGTGCCCCAGCTAAGGGCATCTCCATCCCCATAAGCAGAGCCCCACCAGCTCACAGCAGCCCAGGAGCTGCTGCTCAGTGTGCATAGAGCACCTGCCCGTACCTCTCATGATGCGATGGGTGGGGTGAGGGCCCTGAGGAGAGGCTGTCCAGCTGCCTCCTGCATCCCCGGGGCACCTCCAGCCAGTGGGGATGCCACAGCACCACATATCTGATTCCATATTCCCCACTGCAGGGAACAGCAAGTGTCTCTGGACAGTGTAACAGTGCCCTGCAGCCTACGCAGGGTGCACACCACCCCCAACACCATGACCAACCTCAGCGTGTCAAGCATGGCTGCCCCCACCGAGTGCCTGGTCTGCTCGGAGCTGGCCCTGCTCATCCACTTCTTCCCCTGTCAGCACAGCATCGTTTGTGAAGGTAGGTCGCTGTTCACTCTGCCCACGTGCCCTTGTATGGGCTCTGAGTCCCATGACTCAGTGTCATGGGTCAGGGCTCTCAGGCATCCGACCCAGAGCAACCCCAGTGTAGTTGCAGCAATGTCCTTGTAGATGCAATGCCTGAGGGCATGTGAGGCATGTTATCCATGATTACTATTGGCTTGATGGATTGGGGATCTAGGCAGCCTGTCCAGTGGTTACAGCTGCCCTGGGCAATTTAGAGAGATGGCTGGTTGCCTCCCCTTCAGCCAGTGAGACTTTCTCCAGCAAAACAGGTTAGAGGGTTCATTCCCCCTCTGGCTTGCATTCTCTGTTTCTGTCTGAATGATATTAGCAGAGATCTGCTCAATTGTGCCCATTAGCCTGCTCCTCACCTGCATTCCTTGATCTGGCTATGGGAAATTGGGTTGGAATCCTATCCCGCTCCCTTTGAGCAACCACAGCCCTGAGGTTCAAGTCACAGGGGCGGAGTGTGTCATGGCCAGCATGGGAACCTGGCCAGGGAGGGGTCAGAGGTGTTTGATACTGTTGGGGCAGGGCAGATTAAACAAAAGGACCAAGATGTAGCTCAGGGAGAAGTTGACATTCCCAGTGCCTTGCAAACATTGTCTCAGGCAGTTCCCAGATTGATTTAAATGCCTGTGAGACCGTTCCTGGCTTTGGGGCTTGTCCAAGTCCCCAGGGTTTAGCTGTAACCTCTTTTCTCATCTTGCTCTCGGCAGAATGCTCCCGGAGGATGAAGAAGTGCATCAAATGTCAAGTGACAATAACCAAAAAACTCAAACAAGGTACGTTCCCTGCATCTTGCCATGCAAGACCCTGCAAGAGGCCCTTGCCCACATGTGCTCAGGCAGCCTCCAGACCAATTGGCCCCTCTGAAACGAGCTTGAGAAGGGACCCTCTACCCGATCCCCAGGGCTGGTCACCATACCTTCCCGCCCAGCTGGTCTCAGTTGATGTTCCAGGGGTGGAGCTGTCTCTCACCTCTTGAGGCAGCTGCCCCAAACCAGGATAGGGGCCCCCCCTATCCGCAGGTCGTTGCCTGTGCCCTCTCCCTGGCTGTGCTGTGCATCGATAGTAGTTGTCTGGCTCCCAGACTGTTAATGCAGCCTCTTCCTCCAGAGATAGTTTCACGTTGGAAATGTGCACAATGGAAAGCATTGCTGTATGCAAGAGACTTGTTTTACCTTTGTTCTGTGAAGGTATTTGAAACCCCAGTCAGCCTGCAGGGGCCAAGCAAGCAGGGTTGGGCCTGGCCAGCTGCCTAGGGACAGTCAGGGTCAGTTGCCCTAACAAGGATCCTCTCACACTGAGCCCAGATCTCTGCAACTTTGGACAGGGAGCATCTTCCATTCTCAGACCAGAGGATGGTACATTCTCCTGTACCAGGGGCAGCAGGTTGGTTCTGTGCCATGTGGCAGCAGAGTCCTGCTAGCCCTGGCATTCATCTGTGCTGTCCGGTGTAACATCCATGACCAGGTGTGGCTGCCCCAGTGTACCTCAGGCTGGACCACAAGGACACAGTCCTCTGTATGTGTGTGTGGACAGGAATGGCAAGCTCTGCTGCTGCTGCTTAGTATCTTTTGCCATTGAGTTGACACCAGACTGTGGTTTTATGTGTGGGCACCGCTGCCAACTGGCTGCCTGGGTGAAGGTGCAGCCAAGAATCTGTTACCAGGTGTTGGGTATGTGCAGCTGGCAAGGGCAGAAATCCCAGCTGGGAACAGTTGTGCTGCAGTGTCCTGAGGTCATGTACTAATAGGCCGGAGAAACCTATCATTGCTGCTTTGCTGGATGATGTAGAATTCAGGCGGGCAAGACAGGGCAGCAAGAGGCATCAAAGCAGAGTCTCACCCTGCCCAAGACCAGGATCTCGCACAAAGTTTCCAGTCAGTGCAGCAGAGACCTGTCAGAATAGCAGAGCTTCTAGGTAACTCAGCAGGACCCCATCATTGGCATAACTGCGGTGTCCTCTCAGAGCACCTCTTCCCAAAATCCCTTACCAGCTTGAATACTCTGGGGTCTCTTCCCTCACCACTGCCATGCCACCCTCGTGGTGGTGAGACAAGGAGCAATGCAACGCAGTTGTATTGGAGCTGGAGAGCAGTGCTGCATCCAGCTGACACCAGGTGGAAGGTGCTAACACCCAGGCTGGCATGTGCCCGGAACAGAGTTTTTTCCTCTAGTCTAAATTAAGCTCAGTGTCTCTGCAATTTTGCTCTGAACTTCACACAGAAAGCGGATTAAGGGACCCTCCCCAGTTCTATCATTTTGATTCCTAGGGGGTCAAATGAGAGGAACGTAGGCAGGCATCCAGGGCCTGGCAGGCGAGAGCAGAGATTGCGAAGGCCACTGCAAACAGGATGTGGAGCTCAGGGCAGTGGTGGGGCCTGCTGCCTTGTCAGAAAGCGGTCTAGACTGAGCTCATTACTGCTGCAAAGGGCAGGGCCCAGAGTCCAAGGTGGAAAGGAGGATAGATGCTCTGGCCACTAACTTGCTCTCTGTTCCCCACAGACAGCACAGAGGTGGAGTGCAGCCCTAGCACAGAGTCCACAGACCAGCAGAAGCTGATGGAAGAGCTGCAGAGCCGCTACCGTCAGATGGAGGAGCGCATCACCTGCCCCATCTGCATTGACAACCAGATCAAGCTGATCTTCCAGTGTGGCCACGGCTCCTGTCCCGAGTGCAGCGCAGCCCTCAACGTCTGCCCCATCTGCCGGCAGCCCATCCGGGAGCGGATCCAGATCTTCGTCTGAGGTCACACACACCCGCCCCTCTGCCTGCCACCCCTTCCCTCTCCCGTGCGTGCAGCTGGGAAGCGCAGGACCCATCCCGCACTCTGAACCAGAGCGAGTTGCTCGCACACCTGGCTCAGGAGGTGAGGTGGGGAGCCCAGTGGAGGTAGAAAGAGCCCTTCTTCCCACAGCTCCTGCTGCCATTAGGGAAGGCACAGCAGTGACGGACAAGCAGCACGATGCTGAGGATGGGACAGGGCAGGAGACCAGAGAGGAGACCTAGAGGTTTCCACAGGCAGCCCTCCTAAGGACAGCCCACTCAGGGGACAGCCTCTTGTCTGGTTCCTTGTGCTGGGGCAGGTTCACGGCCTGATACAACTCTGGCAGGAGAAATGGCACAGAAGCCCTCCGCACTGCACGGCAGGCTGTAGCAAAGCAGTGCTCTCGCACTTCACACTAGGAGGCCTCTGTTGGGATTGGGCCTTGCTGTGTGCTCTCCCACGGGGCGCTCAGGCATGGGGGCCAATGAGACAATGTGCGCTCACTCCTCCCTGCTGGGCTGGACACGTGTTGATTTGGGTTGGCTGCAGAGTCTGGACTGAACATTTTCTGGAGACGGAGCGTGTGCCTTAGAGAAGAAGCAGCGATCCTTTCTTGGAGACAATATATTGCTGCAACAAGTATTTTTACCTCTAAGTGACACTCCTCTGCTATCAATGTACTCTTCTGTTTTTTTGCAGTTAAATGTCCAGAGACTCTGAGCTTTCTATCCACAATGCCAAAGGCAGGTGTCTGATATTCCAAACCAAGTGTAAAAGGAAATAAAGAGTAATAAAATCCAACTAATAAGGTGGGGGAAAAGGCAAATTTGTTTTTTTTTTCTTTTTTTGGTGTGGGAACCAAATTTAATTAAAAAAAAAAAAATTATATCGTACTAATCATTGAAAGAAATGTGCACATAATAGGTTAAATCTTGAGGTCAGACTGATTCCAATTCGGTGGCATTTTCTAAGCTGTTGATTTGGGAAGAAACATCATCCAATGAACTTTCACCCTTACAGTAACTGTATTCGACTGGTGGCACCCAAACAGCATGTGTGTGTGTGTGCATGCGCAGAGCTTTATCGCTCAGCTAACTGCACGCCACATCTTTTTTGTTACAACCCGAACACAATGTTTTGAACCATGTAATGTAAAGCAACAGAGGACCAATACTGAGCTATGGTGTGCAGCCACCGACATGCCCAAGATCACACCGGGCGTCTGCGGTGGTGCACAGCACAACTCCCAGCTGACTGCAAAATGCAGCAGGCCATTCTCCAGGGTTGGGTTTCTCTCTCTGGTTTAGTAGAAGTTTTTGTTAGGAGCTGATTTTTAGACCACAAAAGAGCCCTCTGAGAAGGCCTGCCGCAGCTCCGTTCTCCCCAGCTCCCTCTTTTTGGTCAAACCTCCAGGAGGTCTTTATTAGGAAAGTGGGCCACTCTGCGGTTTCTTTTGTGCATATGTTCTCTCTCATTCTTTCCCTGGCAGGTCCTATTCTCTTCCAGTTGGGAGCCTGGTATTTGCATTGGCAGCTGGTTTTGTTAGCTGTTTTTGTGCAGCTGGATTTGAGGAGAAAGTCTTTTCTGTGAACCTGCCTTTGCTCCAGGCCACTCAGGGACATGAGCTGCAAAGAAATCTGCCTCCAGGTCTCTCAGCCTATTTTAAGCCTTGTGACTCCAGAGCTTTGCCCCACATCAGCACGGCTGCCCTCATGCAGGCAATCAAGGCTGTTGTTTCCTTAGTGGGACGCGGGGTCCCTGACTCAGTGCAAACACCTCGCCCTGTCTGTGCTAGAGACTTGGGTGCTCGTGGCTGGAATTAGACCAAGCCCCTTGCACAGCCAAGTCCCTGGGCTTCTCTTCGCCCTCCGAAGCTCTAAGGTTGGCCTCTGCTTGCAGCATGAAATTGAGTGTGGTCTCCTCTTCTTCATCCCTCCCCCATCCTCTTCCTAATCCTCGAATTAAAATGAATTGTCCTACTGTTTCCCTAGCAAGCTGAATGATGAGGTTTGCAGGCTGCTGAACAAAAGAGCATATTCACAGCTTTCAGAGGAGATGCTGGGTGTCTCCAGCTCTGAAGGACAGTCGGAGGCAGCAGAGGTGAGCCACACCGAGGATTGCATTGTCATCACCGCTGTGAGAAATTCTGAGCTCCTCTCAGAAGCGTACAGGATGGAAAAACTCACAGCACGGTCAGGAGATTCCTGTCCTGGAAACACCATTACAGTGGGCAGGGGCTGTTTGTCTCATGCCACTGGCTTCCACACTGATGCCTGGGAAACCGGAGCCTGGTGGCTTGTCTAGACTAAGACTTTGCAGCATAGCTACAGCTGCTTTGGTGCCAGTGTCATGGGATGTCCACACAGTGGACCAGAGTACAGCACTGTCCCTTAAAATGTGTAGCATGAGTGTGCAAACTGTGTTTTGCCCTAGTCTATGCCAAAAAGCTGCCATGGGCACAAACCCCACAGGGCCTAAAAATGTGAACAATCCTCTGCTAAAGGCCCTAGGGGACTATGAGATTAGGTCCTTGTTTCTACCAGCATCTAGCATCTCCCCTTGCTGCTGGTTGGTGAAGAACTCTTGCCTTCTGCGTGCCAGAAAAGGGCTGTGTAGTGCCCCCCAAATGCATGTTGCTGTAGGGCAGGCTCAGTAATAAATACAGGATATATTGCTGCTTCAAGTGGCCTGCAGCTGAGAACCAAGCTTTCCCTGAGTTTAACCCTGCCTCCTCTCTTCCCCTATCATAACACAGCTGGATTTTTGGAGAGAGCTTAACCCCAGGCAAAGAGGAAGTTCCTGTCCTTACCAGGGACAGGGTTGCCTGAGAAGTGACTTGTCTCATTAAAGAGGTCAACCCTGCAAACGCAATGCATTCCCGACGCAGCTGCCTGGGGTCCAACAGCCATGGAGCCGAGAGCTTTAGCTCCATCTAGCTGTCCCTGTTCCACCACATGCTGTTCCATAAGCTTAAACTCAAATGCCAGTGAGAGTTAAGCCCATGTTACCATGTCCTTGTTGCTGTTTTAACCTGCCTTAGCTAAAGCATGGGTGAAGCCGAGCTAAGATTAATGCACTTTTTTACTGCACACCATATGCAGTCTAAGTGGTGCTGCAGTGGGCAAAGACGCTCTCCATCCGGTGCAGCTGCCACTTAGCAGGGAAGGGGGCTGCCGGCAGAGAGTTTCCTTAAAGGGCCTGAGCTGGGGTGTTTGCTCTCCTGTGTGACACGGCAGTACCTGAGTTTGTTAACCAGCTGGGCATGCTGACAGCCTCCAGTCTTCTTCTCAGCACTTGGGGGAAGTAGCATTCCCCAGCTAAGATGTTTCTAGCCATGTCTGTTGCTTTCAACATCTGGGCACTGAGGAGCTTGAGAAAAAGCAACAGCTAGACTTCATTATGCAAGGGCTAGCAGTTGAACCACTGAATCTACCAAGCAGTTTTAAATCTGGGCATGGTACATTTGCTTTGCATCCTTGAAACAAGCAGCTAACAAAGCAAAGCTAGCAGGGGAGTAAGGCCCTGCTGGACTCTGTTGTCCCTTGTGGTCCAGATGACAACAATCCTTGCACGTCTGGGAGTAGCACCTGAGCATCCCTCTGGGTCAAGGAAGGAGCAGGGTGAAGTGAACTCAGGGAAAGCACTGTTCTCACCTGCTCCTTCCCTCTTGTGTATGTGGCTTCAAGCACTTCATCCCAGAGCTCTCTGGGCTATCTTCACACATGCCCTGTGAGTCCCTTGTATGTAGTGCCCTGGCAGTAATGGAGTGGCCAGGGCAGCTCCTCCCCACCCAGTTGCATGTTGCCTTTCTCCTCCCTGCTTCCTGGCTCCCTGCAGAGGAAAATCACTGAATGGAATCTGGCTGAATAAGAGCAGCCGCTGGACTCGCCCTCTCCTGGACTCCAGCTGTTGTACAAATGTCTGTACAAGCGCCTTGCACAGCTCAGTTCCAGGGGAGTACAAGGCTCGCATTATCCAGCCTGCCCCCCTGCTCCTTGGAAGATGCTGAGATTATAGACAGGTGTTCCCTGGGTTAATCTCCAAATGGGCATTGCTTGGCACCCCCCACTCAACAGCCCTACTGTGGCTCTTGGTATATAAAGTTAGTGCTGGTGGAAAGTGCTGCATGTACATCCGCAGAGCACGAAGGTAGCTCAGTGGTCTGGATCCAAGCGCCAGGGGGAACTCTCCACTGCTGTGAGTGGGTCTGGTGTTAATCCTTCATCCACATGAGGGTGCCTGATCTTGAAGCATGGTCTACTATTGTTCACCCCCATGTGAAGAAGTTTGAGGCAAGCAGAGGCCAAGAAGGAAGGCAAGCTGGTTGCCTCTTCTCACCACTTCCTTGGGGAGGGATCCGCGGTATCCTCAGCCATCCATCTCACTTCTGCGAGTATCACTAGGGGAACAGTGAGGGTTGTGTTTTTGGCAATGAGGACTCTTGTGCAGCAGTGACTGGGACTGATGCCTACCAGGCTCATTGTGGGATGGTAATGATCCTGGATTCTTGATGACTAACAGGATTTAAGGAGTCCAGTATGGAGCCCCTTAGCCGTGGTGGCTTGTGTGCATCTGAGCCAAGTGCTGGGATTGGCGAGCCGCTGTCTCCAAGCCCGTTGCATCCTTGGGTTTTATTTTACTGTCCAAGTTTGTCTCTCCTCCATTCAGTGCTAAGTAGCAGCTTTGGCTCCACAGCCTGGGTGCAGCCTGCCTCCATCTGGGAAGGTCAGGCACAACCCGTCCCATCTCCCCTACCAGCTCCGGAAATGCAATCTTTGGAACGTGCTGCTGATGGGGTTGTGGGGGAGGAGGTCTGCTTACAGCTTCCTTTCCCAGCACAATGTCTGGGCTCCCAGGAGCATTTCCTCCCCGAGTCAGAGATCCTATATGAGGCCAAAGGGCTCGGGCTCTGTCCCAGCTGCCCCTCTCTACCCATTTTGAACTCCCCGGTGCCTCCAAAAGGGGAAGGACAGCATAATGTTTTGGAGCTCCTGGTCTGATGCCGCAGCCCCTCAGCTATGCCTCCCACCCTGGGCTGAACCTGGGCTGGGCTTCCCCAGTCCCCTGACCTCCATGAGCTGACTGAGATGCAGGAGGAGGAAGAAATGTCTCATCTTCTCCCCCTTTGTGGCTGGGTGCTGCACAGAAGTATTGCAAGAGACCTGTACTGAGGGCCGGGATGAGCTGGGAGTGGTGCGTGGGGCCTGGTGCACAGCGCTTCTCCCTGCATGCTGCCAGACAGGTTTGTTTGGGAGCTGTCCAGAAGGAGCTGGCACTGGCTGTAGCATTTCCTGATGTAACACTAAAGGATGCTGACAATAATCCACTTAAGCCAGAGCATGTCTAGTTGGAGCTACAAGCTGCGTGTGGGAGCTTTGCCATACGCTAGGCATTGTCCATCACGCTGCCGCACCAAGCCCCAGCAGACGGGTGGGAAAGTAAGAGCAACGGGAAACCTTGCCACTTGCATCTCTTCTCGACCGTTTTATTTCTGCCAAGCATGAATCTTGCTGTCGAGGCTGCTACGTTTGTCCTACGCAGTGTCTTAGAAAATATCCCCGAAAAGCCTCCAGATGAAGCCCAGGATCCCCCCACAGGGTTGCTCACAGCAGGGAGGCAAGGGCTGTGCAGGCCATCGACACACCCAGGTTGGTTCTCTCTCCCCTTCTCCCCACGTGGCTTCTCTCATCTGTAACATGTTCCAGCACCCCTGTGACTCCAGCCATTGTTGCCAGGAATATTTTTCTGTCCCAACATAGCCGGTCTGATGGTTCTGGCGCACAGGCCAAACCAAATATCCAGACGTGAGAACTGAAAGCCTCCTACATTCAACAGAGGGATGAATTGAGAAAACAGCCATGCTTTGCACTTACCCAACTTGCTTGCACGCTTTGCACTTACCTGCTTGCTTGATCTCCTGGGGCCTCACAATACCTGTCAATGCAAGGGGAATATTGTCAGCCCCGGGCTGCTCAGTAGTTGAGGGACTTGCCCCAAATTGCACAGCAAGCTACTGCCAAAATCAACCTTAGGCATCTTTGACTTCCAGCTCCTACCCCAGGAGGCTCTGCCATGCAGGAAGAAATCCTGGGAGCTGGTCTGGATCAGCCAAAGCAGGGGCTGGACGCTGCAGTACGTGGGCACGCATGTGGCATTGAGCAGGGATACTCACCGAGTTCCTTGAAGGCTGTTCATAATAAATGGAGAAAGCAGATATCAGAGGAGCCCTGCCAATTCTTTTTTCAAAGTCATTGCAGGACAGTGGGGTGCTTGCAATGGATTTGCACCCTGGGTCGTCACAGATGTCTATGGGAGAGACCTTCTGCACTAATTTAACAAGCAGTGTTAGTGTGGGAACTTCCTTCTGTGTCATGTCATGGGCTGCACCTCCTGGGTGGATCCCAAGCAGAATCTGCAGGGAAGAATCCAGATGCAGAGCGAGACAGCAGGTGCTCACAGTGCTGCGATCCCTTGCAGCTTGGTGAGTGTCCAAATAAAACCTCCAGATAACCTAGAAAAAAAGAGCTTTCTGCCTCTGACTCGCCTGGCGCCCCACTTACTGCCATAGTAACCAAGATTTGTCTTGGCCGTGTCGTCCAGCTGATTCCTGAGCAAATGTTTGGCTTCGATGGAAAAAGTTCTAAAATCATCCTGCAGGCAGCAGCTGGCCGGAGCCACGCACGCAGAGCTGGCACCTGCTCCAGTGCCCCCTGCCCCAGCAGCAAGAAAGGAGGGGCACCTGCTTTCCAAGAATGACTTTCACATTAAGCTGTGAGTCACACACTTCCCATGCAGCAGATCGTAACCTCCTTTCTACTTCCCCGGTAGGCGCGTGTCCCTAAATGGCACCAAGGGAATGGAAGAGCCCTGCATCTAAATTTTCTCATAGACCCATCTGAGGCCAGAGTGGGTGGAACTGAGAAGTAGCAAGAGCTTCTCCCCTGGCCAGAACTGTTCAGAGGATCACCACTAAGGTGCATAAAAAAGTCTTGGTTGTGTTCAGCTGTAGTCTTTCCTTGCACAGCCCGTAATCAGAAGCAGTCAGCTCCTCCAGAGCACTCACAGGACCCTAAATCAAAATGCCAGCTGCAAACTCAGCTGTTCTTTAGTCCCAGAGCCATACCTTGCACATGATCCTGCTATTCTCTCAGACGGGACCAAGCAAACCCCTGCTCCCAGCACCCCTAGACTTCACAGCTATTTAAGATACAAATCTAGATTGTGTATGAATCTGAGCCTGCATAGTCCTCTTTGTAGTCGGACATTGCAGTGGTCCAGGCACTGTCCCCTGGGTGGTAAAAAAGTCTTAGATTCAAGGTTATACTTTTACCACACACTTGAAGGTGGTAATAACCTGGTTTATTACCTCTGTGGCCATAATCTGTCTTAAAGCCAAACCAATTTGACCTTAGAGAAGCCTCCGCTTACTCACCTCAGCACCTTGCTTGCAGGAAAGCAAGGGATCCTAGGCAGCTTTGTAAAGCTGGTGGTGTAACACTCAGCACTTAGTGCCTGTTCTGTTATGCCTTGATACACTCCAGGAGATGAACAAATGCCCTTAGGGAGCCAGGTAAAGCCCTACCTGCCACATGGTGTGTTGAATGTACTGTTGAATGCACAGTTTAGACCCCATGTCATCCAGCTGGCCTTGCCAAAATCAACTCCTGGCAACCCAGGCAGTAACAACTGTAGATTGTGATAACTTGCTAGTGATTTCTTCTGCTTCAATCAATTGACAGTGTTCCCTTCTTGTTGCTTTGTTCATGTTTCTTGGATATGTGCATCTTCTTATTTCACCTCTCCTTGGTTTGTCTACAGCTACTGGAGAACTGACCCAATCTGCAGGTTCTTGCACTTTCAGTTTAACTCCAGTTGATCCATTCAGTGTCTCCTTCCTTCCCCCATCCCTCCCCTGGGCTTTGTATGAGGGCCATGTGTTACAGGGAATACCTGTGAGCTTTTTGCTATGTTGTGTTTACCTGACAAGTACCCTAAACCTACAACACACCTGTATTTACAATACACCGCATGCTCCTGGGTAACGCACTAAGGCTAGGTACGGGCATTCGAAAAGCCCAAGGCAGAATTGACCTAAGTTACACAACTTAAGCAGTGTAGTTTAGATCTGTAGCAAACAGAGCACACTTTTGCCCTTTGGTTGGGTGGCGACGGGGGGGGTTCAAATCTTGAATTGGGTTCTGCCACTTTTAAACTAGTCCAGGTGTGCTGAACTTCTGCTCTGTTATGGGTATAGGCCAGATTCCAGCCACTTATACCAGTAAGAGTGTAATGTCTGTACCTGGCCTAAGTGAAAGGTTAGGGAGGGGATAAGGAAAGTAACCCTGCCTTTACTGAAGGGACATCTTCAAACTGCTGCCAAGGCAGGTATTGTCCACAGCAAACCCAGCTGTGAAGGCTCTGGGACTGTGCTGTGCTGGTAGGGAAACCAAGAGTGCTGCACAAAGATCCTTCTACACTCAGCTGCCATGCTAGCTTACAGTCACTTATTCTCCTGTGCCTCGTCCTGAGACTGGTCTGGCCAAGAGGAGCCAACAGAGTCACGTGCTTTCTGGCTAAGACGTTCAAAAGGGACTAATGCTTTTTTTGACAGCACAGACATGCATTACAGAAGATGCTCTGTTTTGAAACATCTTCTACTGAACCTTCATGCAATGAGGTTTCAGATTTTCACCCAGTTGGCCAGTTTTAAACAGTCTGCAGCTGTGTAATTGTGTTTGGTCATAGCTATAGCCTGCTTTCTGTGGCCAGACTGGGCAAAAATTGTCACTTCTGTCTGCACCCTGAGATGAGCAGCTGAAGAGGTCTCTCCGAGTCCTGACTGCCTGGAGCCGACACTGCCTTGCACGGCTGGGCCCTCTGGTTGTGCACCCTTCAAAAAAAAAACCTACTAGACCCTTCTGGCAATCCCAGTCTGTGTTGCTCTCACTATAAAACTTCCAGATCCCCATAAAAACCCCAAAGAGCCTGCAGGACACAAGTACCAACATCCACTGAGCAGGGAGTTGCTGTTTACTTCCATCCGAGCTTTTGTGAACTTGCTAACTGAAAACCTCTGCAGCAAAGACGTTCATGTGGCCTTCAGCCTAGCAAGCTCATTTTTCACCCTGCTCCCAGAGACAGCCTCTGACAAATGCCTGCTCTCCTAGCCCTCAGCATCCCCTAATGAAGCGTTCCAAGCCCATGAGGCCAGCTCCTGGATTACTTTTTTCTTTCTTCCCTCCCCTTCCCCCCCCCCCCCAATT